TCTTGTTTTGTGAATCATGGCAGGTTCTGGGTGACACCATTTGGATAGAACATGTGTTCATTGCAGAGGGGGATTTGTTCATCAGGGTTGGGGGGCTTAGGGTTGCAATGAGTTTGGCCAACTCAAGCAACCAAACAATTTGCTTGGATTTCACCCAAAGGCCCCCACCCCCCTCCCACCCCCTGACCCCCCTGAGACTCTCCACCCCGAAGCCCCAAGCCGTAGCACGCCTCCTCGATGCACCCGCAGGGCGACTGGTCCTGGCAGTGCGGTCTTCCCCGTGATCCTTCCTTCAAACCAACCTCAAGGGTGGGCGGGGGGGGTGGGGGGGTGGGGGGGGGTGAGGGGGGGGGGGTGGGGGGGGGGGGGGGGAGGGGTCACTGTGTTCCCGTTGAAAAGTTGCAAGTTACTGGAGGTGTTTAAAAAACAGTGGGGGGGGGGGAGGGTACGGGAAACCACCCAAGAGCCATGACAAGATGTGACGGTTTTTCTTAGGTCCTAGGTTGATTCGATTTCTGTGAAACGGTCTCTTTTCAGCCCTGTTTTCGAGGTTGGTTCAACATGTTCGGAACAGACAAAGCCTGAACGGGAAAGGAAGGCACGCCGAGTTGTTGCCTCGCCATAAACTACGCAATACTACGCAGTTTTCCACATTTAACCCTCGAGTGCGGGGAGAGAATGGGCAGAGCACAGGGCTCCCAATTTGTTCCCTCTGAAACATCACCCCAGGGAAACGATGCTTCTCTTGGTGTTCCTTCAAATCCAACCAAAAAGGTTACCTCCTACTTCAAAACAAGGCATCAAACCAATTGGGAACAGGTTAAATACACGAGCGTGTCTTCTATTAGTGGACCCCACCGGAAGGAAAATTCGTGGTAAATCCCCCACCCCCACCCCCCAAAAAAAAGGAGAAAGAGAGGGTGTGGTCTTCCTTTTCTGGTCTGTCCTCAGATCCCCCGCTACAAGCTTCACTCGTGATTATAAATTCGGACGCCAAAAAAAAGCGAAACACTAAAAAGCTTAAAGGGACCGAAGATCCCTTGAAAACCGCCCAGTTTTGATCCCAAAAACGCCTTAAGACCCCAAACCACAGGGGCACCAACCTCCAAACCCCGCGGCCCCCCCGTTGGTCGCTCCCGGCTGAAGGCCGCCAGCACGGTGCCCGGCGCCGCCGCGAAGGCGAAGGAGCTGCTGGTCTCCGGCGGCGCCTTGGGCGTCCGAGATATCCAGGGCGTCTGGGTAACACCCAGATGGCAATCTGCCGGTCAACATCCAAATCGTACCCCCAGTGAACATCCCAATCCAACCCATCCCCACTAAAAAAGACGAGTGGTGCACCTAGCTCTAACATCCAACTCTATAACACCCAAAGTGAAGCAAGCACTAAAATATACATTCTAGAACTGGGCCAAACTCTAATCATGATGTGGCTGTGGGTCAAAACCATTTTGGTATCCCATTTTGGTTGGTAGGTGAATTCACCAACCATTTGACTCTATTTTAGTGGGGATTGGGATGTTCACTAGAAAAATAGACATACTTCCAGTGATCGATTCCCTTTAAAACCAACAGGGGAGATGAAAAATGCTCTTGAGCAAATGAAACATACTCTTAAGCTGTGGATCAAAACCGTTGTTGTACCATGTTGGGGTAGGTGCACCACCCAAAATACTCTATTTTGGGATTGGGATGTTCACTGGGAGCTTTTGATTCATGGCCATATTGGGGGGCAGAAGGTTGACCCCAGATCTTGGGGGGAGAAGGTTGACCCCAGATGTTGGGGGGCAGAAGGTTGGCCCCTGATTCATCAACCCCTGCTTCTTTCATTTGGGGGACACCTAGGTTTTGTGGGAAATCTGACCACATTTTGGAGGGGAACGCCCCCAGAATACTAAACAGGGGGTCATGAATCTGGGCTCAACATTATATAAATGGCTAGATTCGCCCTGGTTATAACCCAGTTGCAATGGTTATAAGTCCCCTGTAACTGGCGTTACTAACCGTTTAGCGATTCGTGCACGAAAGGAAACCATGGTTGAAACCCTCGTTTGTTGGTCTTTAGCCTGGGAACGACTCAGAAACCATGGTGTCTGATAGGCGGTGCGAAATGGATTGTGTCCACAGTGGGGGGTCGTGGGGATGGATGGTTGCGAAATCCCTATCGTGTCACGAAATCCGCGAAGCGCCACTTGGAAACCATGGTTGAAACCAAAACGTTGGTGGGTGTTTACCGGGTAATCAAATCATTCCAGGGTTGGAAACCATGCCATTGTCGGACCATTGTTGGTTGGTATTCACAGGGGAATGGGCAGAAACCCGGGTTTTTGATCGGTGATGCGAAATGGATTTCGTCCATCTACAGCAGGAAAAGACTGCATGGATGACCCCCCGTGTTCCTGGTTTCCAGCAAAAAGAACAAGATGTGACCCCAAAAAAGAACACAACCACAAAACGCGCCGCCAAGGCACTTGGAGTGCAAGCTTGTCTGACGCATGGGTTTTCATAGGGAGCCAAACTCATGCCTTCTTTCCACGGCGTTCCTTTTCCGAAACGCTGCCCTTTGAACCCAAGCTCATCAGATAAAGGCCCCACAAGCAACCACAGGGTTCTGGTTAATGGACGAATCCAAAAACCACCCGCTTTACAAGGGGATCCTCTAAATCAGCTAGCAACTGTTTTCCCCAAAGAGCAAAGCGTTGGGGTTCTAACTTGACGTATTCACCCATCCACTTCAGCCTGGACGATTTTGCCGCAACCGTCGTGAGATTCGGAGCACCATAATAAGAGGAAGCCCCCCCCAAAATAAACCACTTGCTTCCAAATGGAAATGGGGAGCAAGTACAGCCATTTGTGTGACCTCAGTGAACAGAAGTCCAACCCCAGCTCCCAATGTCAATTTGAGGCCCACAGCCCAGGAAAGGTTCAGAACCTTAGCGGGCCGGGCTGCAGGGCTGGGAAACGGAATCCACTTCTACAACAAAATTCGGATTGCCAAAGACAAACCCCCCGCAGAAAGAGGAGATCCCCACTGTGCAAGAGAATCTCCTCTTTTTCTGGAGGGGGTTTGTCTTTGGTAAGCCGAATTTTTGGTTGCAGAAGGAGATTCCCTTGTACAGCGGGGATAAGCCGCGAGTGATCCCGCAACCCTGGGCCCTCGAGTAGCTCCTTTGGCGCGCCTGGCATCCGTAGTCCTGCGACACGCGGCCCCGGCTGCTGTGAAAGCGCACGCTGAGCAGCACGCCGTGCCCGCCGTGCCCGCGCCCAAAGTAGCCGGTGATTTTGGTGAGAAACCTCGGCCAGCGACCAACACCCACCTCAAATAGTGTAGGAAAAATGGGCCGGATTCACTAACTGCTGATTCCGTCCATTGTCGGGGGTCCAACAAGCAGTTGTTGGGGGGGGGTGTAGGCAGTTGGTGGTTTGGTTTTATTTTAGGACGTTGTCCCTTCCCCATGCTTCAAAAAGGGACTGCAGTTCAAGGCTCCCTATATGCCGCTTTGAATTTCCCCAACAAACACACACCCTCTTGACACAACCCAACCTTCACATGTCCAAAGCACCTAGAAGTTGCCAACGAAAGGTCAGAACAAATCCACGCGCAAGAAGGTGAACATCCCGTACGCCCCCGTGACGTTCATATTATAGGTTGCCATTGGACTTGGCTTGCCCTCCCATGTCCTCCGCAAAGCAACAGTAGACGACCACACAAGTACTCTCAGTCACCTGCATAGAACCAACCCACTTGAAACGGATATGGCCATGGGTCAAAATCCCGTACCCCCAATGAACATCCCAATCCCCACTAAAATAGACTAAAATTGGTGGTGCACCGAAAACCCCCAAAATGGGATCCCAAAACGGTTTTGACAACCACAGCCATATGGAAAACTCCCTCGACTCTCGCGCTCGAAAAACGTCTGGGGGCACCAGGCTCGTGCTGCATCAGCTGAAAGGCAGGCTGACTGGAGCCCGAGCGCCCCAAGTGGTTGCCCGTGACGCCTGGACATCACGCAACTGGCTTGCCAGGGCCGGGCGGGCAGGTTGTTTTTTTCGGTGGCGCGATTGGCAGGGATTGAGTTGGAGTGAACCGGTTTGGGATTGCCGAGTAAAGGAAACCATGCAGCATGGTTTGTAGGGGTCAATCCAACTCATTCCTTGCTGAGCAGCAAGTATTTCCGTTTCAGCTTGGGCTCTTGTCTAACGGCTCCTTTCCTTTCGCTGGGGTACAACATTGCAAGGATCTCGTGGTACCCTTACATTCTCGGAAGGTACAAAGGCGCTGCGAAAAGGTTGGATCACCAAAGGGACTAGCACCATGGCTTGAAACCTCGTTCTATGCCTGATTGCCCCGAAAGAAATGGTGGAATCGCTCGTACCCAAATGCACCTGAAGTCTCCATGACCCTTCAGAAAGATGGGTTATACTCAAAATGAAGGATTCACGTTCTCAGGGTCATGGATACTCCAGGGAAAAGACACCTTCATGGGCGAGGTGAAAGCAACCCTGCGAAGTCCAACCAAAAAATGAGAACGCCATTGCGCTTTCCGGCGAGACTTAGGCCCCACGGCAAGGCAACTTTGAGGAAACCACAAGGAAGGAAAACCAAAAGGCAACAAGTCCAAAAGGAAAGCGAAGTCTGGGGGGGCCCCCACGTGCATCAAGCAAACCACCAAAAAGTCTAGCCCCCTGTCATGGGTCAGGATGTGGGATCTGTTTCCACAGGTCCAAGTCGCTTCCTTGGGTTCGACGCATCATCGACCCACTTGGAATTCGGTGGACTCTCGCAAGCCGAGAAAGGGTTGCTTGTTGTACAATGCAGGCGGGAGGAATCTGTTGCCATTGAGCGCTCAGTGGCTTTCAAGCACATTGCTAGAACTCAGGCCAAAGGGCAAACATCAAGGAACAGCAGTCCCAGTATCAGGTAGGTTTCCCCGGCAGAACGATGCTCTGGCATGAGGTACGCAGGAGTAGCAGTCATCGAGCTGCAGGAAGATTGCCGCCAGCGATTTGGCAAACTCTGGCAACCAGCTCCCTACCCAACAACCAGAGAGTTGCCAAAGGAAACCACCAGCCAAATGAATGTGTCTACTCTTGATGGTCCCCATGTTGCAACCCAAACCTCCGCCCACTAAGACAAAAAAAGGTTGCCTTTTTCGCGATGTTCAAGGACTTCCCCTCCAACAAAAGACGGGGAAAAACCCTCTCCAAAAACAATTATGTAAGGACATCCGAAATATCCCAAGGGATTTCTTGCTACCTTGCAATCGATTGCAATCGATTTTCACCCATGGACCCTTGAACTCACACCCTGAGGTACCAAAACTCCCCCTTTTTGGGCTCCTTCCAAACCCTCAAGAAAGGAGCCCAGAGCTACGGAACCCCGGAACCCACGGAACCCCCCAACTCCTTCAACACAATTCCATGTTTTCCTTTTGCAGCTCACCTGTGAGGTAGGACCCGTCGGGGTATCTGAAGACGACCGTCTCCACCTGCTGGTCATTGGCCATGACCTCGGAAAATCAAATCCCGCTGGTCTTGTGAGTCTTGTGTCCATGGGGTGGGGAGAACAGAAGGCGTAAAAGGGTGTTGTTCGCCTGGATCCTTGCGGGTATTTTTGCTTGCTTGCGTCTGTGTCTATTTGTTTGTTTGTTGGTTTGTTTGCCTAGTTGGCTGGCTCGCTGGCTGGTGCTTTGGAAAGGATCTTTCGTGTTGGCTGTCGGTGTTTCTGTTGGGTAAGTTGAGCAGTGCAACCGTCCAAGGGATGAGATGCAGCGCTCAATCTTGGCAATGTTTGATATCCATTGGAGGGCATCACCTTGGCAATGTATCCCCCTAACCGTCAGTAAGCCGTTCATTGGAGGGGTCGGGACGAAAATCTCCATTGGAAGACAAAAGAACCCCTGTTGGAGGTCCAGGAACTATATTTGTCCAAAAGCCCTGCCAGTGCAACCGGCGGAGTGGTCCATCGGAAATAAACATGGGCCATCAAACAAGCTGAACTATCCGGCCGCACTTGGATGGACCCAAACTGGAAGTTATAAGGCGTTAGAAGTATCCAAAGTTTTGGATGTCGATGGTGGAAACTTTACGGGTTCTCTGTTCGACGACATGTAGTGCAATTTGGGTTCTTTTGGGGGGGCTTGAGACGGCTTGAGTAATTAGATCTTGAGCAGCGCATTTGCGAAGTATTGATGTCAACGTGAGATCTATCCGGAGGACCAAACCAGGGGGTAGTTGCTTCCTCTTTCGTGGGGGGGTTGATTCATTTGAGGCGGACTATTCTGATATTGTTCGCAAAATGAACTCAAAGTGATTCAAGTGCCAAACCGGGCAAGTTCATTTTGTTGAAGCCAAGACCCCGCAGACCCGGCAGCGTATCAACTTCAGTACCACACCTCGAGTTGCTTTCGGGGTGTCAAACGGATCTGTTTCGGGACCCCCGAACTCCATGACTTATCGCAAGGAAACACATCTTTGGACAAAACAGAAAGAGACACACACGCTCAAGTCCAGTCACCCAAAAGCCCTTGCACCAAGTCCAACCTCTTCAAAAAACGACACATATCAATGAATCAACAAAGAGCTCAAAGTTGGCAACCCAAAAGTCACCCAACCAGAAGCATTTACACAAAAAAAGAAGAAGATCCGCTTGCAGCAAGAAGGCCTGGTGGCAACACCAAAAGTCTCAACCCAACCAAAAACCAACCGGCCGAACGAATTCCCAGCGCATCCCATCCCCGAGTTCTCGGATTCGGCACCTCCACGGCGGTGGGAGGGAAGCGGAAGTCCCTGAGCTCTTGCGGCTCCAGAGGCACCTCTCGCGATGCACCGGGAAAATGAGAAATGGAATGGACTGTTTGGGGATTCCCGAATAAAGGAAACCATAGGGGATGGCATCCGAACAAAGGAAGCAAACTATAGTTGGATGGTTTATAATGCTCATTCCATGTCTCATTCCCTACTGAGCACCAGCAAGTTTCTGCCTGAAGTCTTTTTCTGACCCTTCAAACAACGGGTTACCTTGCTGGTGCGATAGGCAGGGAATGTGGTTGAATGAACTCAGGCTTTGGTACCCGAAAAGAGGAAACCACCAGTTGGATGGTTTATAAGGGTCATTCCACTTCTCATTCCCTGCCTATCTCACCAGCAAGTTACCTATCATTACCCAATAGAAAGGAGCTCACTTCCGATCGAGTGGATGGGCCAAAAGAAGTAACCAAGCATTTCATTCACCACTAACATGGTCTTCCCCAAAAGTGACTCAAGCTCCAGAAACTCAGGATGTGAAGGGGTTATGGCAACCCGTCTGTGCAGGGTCGGAAGGAGACTCCCAAAAATGCCCGTCCACGGATTTCCGCTCGAACTTCCTGGTTTGCTTTTGTCATAGAAACTAATGCACATTGCGCCGGAGAAAAGGAAACACCTCACAAGCCTGAAACATGAGGCAAAAGGCTTCCATTTGTCCAGTTTCGGATTCTTCATTGAAGCTGCAAATGAACTGTTGGCTCGGAACATGAGGGAAATCAAAGGCACTTCTTATTGTTCCTTTGACCCCTTCCCCCTGAAAACTCCTCTCAGTGCTCTTGGAGCTGAGAACTTGAGGAGCGGGTGAACGAAAGCTAGCAGTTGTTGCATGAGATGGGTCGGTGACAGAGTGGATTCATAGGTAGCTTGTGTGCAACGAGAGGCCCGGCAAGATTCGTAGGATGCGACACGCAAACGCACATGGTGGCGTGGCAAACCTTGAAAAAAAATGAAAACAACGAGAGGCGTCAGAAGCTGTCTGAAAGCACCTCTGGGTTCTGCATGCTGCGTGTGCAAAGATTCTTGCGAGGTGATTTACCGAGAAGACTGAGGTCTCAAATGAACAAGCTGAATCGGTGGAACATGTAAAAGTTCGTAGCACCAAGTCCAAAACGGGCAAACCGAGACTGCTGAACACTGAGCCACTGCCCGGGGGGCGGGGGGGGGGGGGATGGACCAGGGAGGTAAATAATTGATGTTTTTCAATCTTTTCGGCTCAAATAATTGAAAAAATCAATCTTTCGGCATTTGAGCCCCTTACCTTGCTTACGCAAGGAGAAACTTCAGCTAGCTAAAGCTAGCTTTCGTGACCTGAGGCCCCGCCCTGAAATTCCTTGCCTTGCCTTGCCCCCGTGTTCACAACGAAATCCAAAGCTGACTTAATTACCCGATCCACGTTTAAAAAAAAAAAAAACGCAACAAAACCAAACCGTTTTCCAAAAAAACAGGGGGGGTCCCACAAAATGTGATTCGGATTCCCAAGGCACGCCCAATCCAAATCAACCAGCCCAGTAAGCTTGGGACCTCCAAGGACCCAGCAACCCCCGATTTTTTTTGCGTTTTCGCGCAAATATAAAAACGGAAAAATATGTCCAGTAGTGATAGATTCCTGTTAAAAGCAAAAAAAGGGGAAACACAAATAGATATTTATTTCAGCAAATGGAAGCCTTCCAATGGAGATCGCTGGCCAGGGCTCGCGGGCTCGCCGCCTGCTTCCCATCCTTCTCGATGCGGATCCCCACCGGCGCGGGGGGCACGTGCTCGCTCCGAAGCTTCTGGATCTGCGGTCGAACCCAACCAGAAGCGAAGTCTTGGGATTCCCTCCAACCCTACCAGAAAAGGCTAAGCTTAAAAGCAGAAACCCAAGTGGGTGTGAACTTCGAGTCGGACGTCACAATTTCGTGGGGACTCATGTCCCGCCACTTTTCCGGTGGTTCCAACTCTCCACCTCAGCAGAACGGCTGGCAAGGAGGCATGATACAAACCAAAACCTGGAGCCTAGGTCCTCCAGTAGAGAGCTTAGAATAAGTTGGCACCAGCTTTTCTTTCTGCAGTCTATTTTAGTAGGGGAACCCTCCCCCAAAAAAGGGGGAGAGAAGGGCACGATCCTGGTGGGACCTAGGGAGCAAACAAAAACCTGGAGCAAAATTTCGGCCCAAGAGATAGCAACCTGCACACAAAAACGATTGTTCACAGGCCCTTGCGCTTGCGAGCGACTCTTGGTTCAACCAGGCACTTAGGGGAAGTTCTTACAGGTGTACGTGGGTTGCAACCCGGGTTTCACCATGGCCATGGGGTTTCCCTGTACTTTAAAGCCATATGTACACATCATTCAAGCGGTACAATCGCCCCTTATATCCGGAATGCTACCCTCATTGCCCAGCGAGTGTACTCCCCAAGAGCAGCGCAACAAAACCTGTTGAACCGCGGTTCCAATTAGAACAATATAATATAAGTTCCTAATTGTTAAAATAAAATGGGGGTGTGGGCTACTTCAAAACCACATATATGTGTATATATAGTATATTCGTGTATATACATATATAAATAAACGTATTTATGTGTCCCCTTGTATGAAGTTAAGGTCTTCGGTGACATCGAAGGTTCATGCCCTCAGGATTTTTGGTGTCACGAGTTTGAGTGTCATAGCTTCAACACAAAACCGGAAACACGTTGAAACCGCAAAGCACATGTTTCTATTGTCCAGGGTGTGTCCGAAAATAGGCAACACCTATATCGGTTGCCCTCCTGTTGCTTTCGAAACGATAAGAATCAAAGGGTTGTCTCCTTTTGGAAACACCCATAGTCGTGCGAGTACAACGGCCAGCGGAAAACTCAGCGCATCTCTGAATGCTTCCAGCGTGCTTTCTTGGAGAAAAACATACTCGCCATGTCCGTTTAGTAAAATACATGGTGTGTGTGTGTGCCTTGTTCTCAGGATCCCCTGTTTGGCTGGTTTTAAATTGAAGGGAAACCAACACCGCCCATTTTGGAGGTTCCGATTAGGAATTTTGGGACAAACCCAAATGGCACAGGTACATGAGAATCGACCTGCAACTAGCGCCATCTAGTTGCAAGACCTAAGAAGGCCATGCTGCCCAAAGACTCACACGTCCGCTAGTCCCAGATGTCCAGTCGGGCCGAGCCTCCCATTCGAACTAAGAGTCCGAAATGCAAAGAGTGAGATACGGCTTGCTGGTTGAAAGTGCCTTCAGGCTGGCAAGGGCCGAGAGAGAAACAATCGCCGGTTCTCCAGCAGGCTAGAAACTGCTTGTCTTCACCCGATTCCCAAGCCTGAAAGTGAGACCATCACAACGATCCGTTGTCCACTTCCTCGATTGGAAGCTGGTGGACGATTTATCTAACAGGTTACAAAGCTATTTCAGACAATAACACATACGTTTTTGTGGTTGGCTATAGAATTGAGTGGGGACCCCGTCAAGATGCTTGGTGGGCATGAAGCGCAATGAAGTTTTTTTGATGTCCACCCAATTGGTCCCTATTTAAAATTGCCCAGAAAGGCACAGAATCAGAAGAAACAACTTGCAGCCAGCCTCTATGCCAAGGCCGGAGTGAACCAGTGCTAGCGCGAGCCGGATTGCCTGCCAAGGATACCAAGCTTTCAAATGGTGGATCACCTTTTGCAAGTTTCATGGATCTATTTGTTTCCAACAGCTCGCTCCGGCGCTCCAGGTCGATTCGGTCGCAAAGACCAGCCGTGTTTTTTTTGTCTCAAAAGTCTCCCAAAATGTTTGGTGCCCCTTCTGGTCTGATCCCTGATTGGCATCAAAGGGCTAGCGGTTCCTCGTTGCAACTGCCAGCCCAGTGTCCATTGCATGGCACTTGACTTCCCATCACCAAATGAATCCGTACCAGGGAAGCTTCAAGCTGACCTCAGCGACGTCTTCACCAAATTTGGGGGTGCGCGCCACCTTGCTTGGGCCTCCCAAAGCAGAGCAAAAGAAAACCACCCCCACGTGTTCTTGCTCAGTGGAAAGATCTAGGCCCGCCAAACATGCGGCAACCGGATACTGCCAGATATTGTGGCCCCATCTTTGAGTCAGAATCGGAAGCTGTTTCTCAAAGAGCCCCAGACTTAATGAATAAAAAGAGCTTCTCGCCAAAACAATGGGCAATAACTTCAATTTTTAACGCTCTGATGGACATCATTTTTTACATCTAGATTTATGTCCACCAACCAGTTCGAGGGTCAGCCACATCCGAAAACGTCTGCTTCTTTTGTCGGTACCCTTTTCGGGGCTGGGTTAATGGGAGCAAACCCATCTGTGCCCAACAAAAACGGATCAGTTGTTAGTTTCGCCCGAGCGCCTGAATTCCGGAATTCCAAAGGGCCACTTCAGTTTTAGCGTGTTCGGAGTGCACACAAAGGACAGGTCACCTGCTCAGTTGTGAAATAACTCAGCATAACTCAACCAAGCGCCCTGTTCCACGGAACAAACACTTGGTAACCTACTTGGCAAGTAGGTTAAACATCCAAGTAGGAATTTAGTGATGTTGCTCCTTAGATCATGAGGCTTTTTACCTAAATTTTGGGGGTGCGGGGGGGTCTGTTCACCTAGGCCGCAGTTCTGAACACCGCGCGCGGACCGATTTCCCCGCCTCTGGATCCGAGTGAACCAACCCGGCGCGGCACAGGGCGGTGCGATCCCCGAAAGCCTCGCGCACAGAACGGGGAGGGGCTCAGCCCCACCCCCCGGGTGGTTTGCGGGGATTCAAATCACCAATGAAAACACAAAGCGGATTACTATAGCCACCATTGTTTGCCTAAGGATTGGCATCATCTAAATTGGGGCAACCATTCTTTTGGCTGAACCCAAGGGTGGTGTGCAGCGTCTGACGGTCCAAGAACACCAAGGTCAAATACACACAAGAACATCATGACAAGTTTTATCTCCTAAAGCAGATTTCTTAGAGACAAGGCTTCAAGGGACAATGAAGAATGTGTATTTAGCTATCGTTCTTGGGTAAAGAAGCCCACAACGAAGCAATATGGGCTTGTTGGGGGCAAACCTTTTCAAAATGGTTAAAGGGCAATCAAAAGAACCACCAGTATTGGGCCCCCCTACTTTGATACATACACATATTATATGAGAATGACAATTCCTGGACAAATGAACCGAGAACAGTGAAGTCACGAAGTCCAAATCCTCCTATTCCAACTCCCAAATGTGATTCCTTCATGAGCGTGTGTGTGTGTGTGTGTGTGTCTCCAGACGGTATATGAAGAAACTCGCAAAAAACAACAACCTCTCATTACTAGTCAAGGTGGGAGTAATACTCCCACCTTGACTGTCAGGATTTGGAGGTCGCGAAATAGTTGGGGAGTTGGTGCCGTTTGACCCTGGCCAGTTCGGTAAAACTAATGAAGAGTTCAATACACAGGCCCACCTTCATCTTCCTCGTAACCGAAAAGGCATATGTCGGCAATGCCTAAAACCGACGGCCCCTCTTGACAACTAATCTTGGTTGCTTGCAACTTTCAGTGGTCTGATGGAAACCCCATTAGTTGGCAAAAAGTTAAAGTCCTAACATCCAAGTAACATGCACCAAAAGTGTTTTCCCAAGGGAGTGTCAAACAAAACCCAGCAAACTCGCCAACCATTCCAACAAAAAGGTGGTCACACGAAACTCAACAGCCACTCCCCGGAGCAGCTGCGCATTGCGCCCTAAGAATCTTGGGAGTTCTGCGAATGTTCGCATCCTAGGTCCTCCAGTAGAGAGGTTAGAATAAGGGTACCAACTGTTTTCTGTAGTCTATTTTAGTAGGGGAACCCTCCCCAAAAAAGGGGAACGAAGGGCACTACTGGGGGACCTAGCATCTCCTGCAACACCAGAACTGCGAACATCTGTTCGACGCCGCTCCCTCAAGGGCGAGCATGGGCTGCGGCATGCTGCGGCTTTGTGGTTTCGGTGCATGGGAAGTCTCGTGCAAGGGCCTTGCTGGCGTTTGCAGGCCAAAGCAAATGCTTTCCTTTGCTTTCCCGCGTCAGCAGCCGGACATGTGAGAAAACGCCTCGTTGCGAGGTGCGGCTTTTGATTTTATCATTTTTCTGGCCTGCACAAGGACTTGTAACAAAGCGTTGCTTCTTTGCAGGGCGCACATCGGATACGTCACCAATCAGGAAACATGGCAGGAAACACAGCAACTGTTTTGTAAACGTGAAAAGGGCGAATCCTTTTGAATTCCGAATCCCTTTGAGGATCCCTTGCTCCATCCAATCAAGGGTCCGAACTCTAATGCGTAGTGCTAGAAAACGGAATCTCCAGCTGCTCCCCTGCCGCCTGCCCCAGGCGTCTCGAGAGGAGCGACTCCAGGGCTTTGGGGTCCACCACCGCCTCAGGCTCGCCCGCACGCCAAATCACCTGGAAAAAAAAGAGCCCCAGGGGTTGAGTCCCCATGATTCCTTGGTATTCTAGGGGGTTCCCTTGGTATTCCAGGGGTTGATTTTCCTTTTCCATTCTTTTCAGCCATCGTTCTTCTCAAAAACCGATCGCCACTTCCCCCGGGTTTTTGGTGATTTTCCCGAAAGACTCGGATCCCTGGAAAGACTGGGGAAGCTACCCCGAGAAGATTCCCCTGCCTGTGGATCCCAAAAGCCCACGTCAATCCTTTGATATGTTGCTAAGGAGCAAGTGATCCCTTTGAACATCACAGCCAAAGCAAAGTCACTTCAAAAAGCGCTAGCCAAGTGAAGCTTAAAAACTACCTTAGGAGGGGGAACCTAGGATGCAGAAACACCCGCAGTGTAACATCAGACCACCAAAGGGAAGCTCTCTTTCACATTTGCGCCAAAGGTATTTGCCAAGAATGCATCCCTGAACAAAAAGGCAAACTACACAAAAACGGAAGAACACACAAGCAAACAAAAACCATACAGCACCGAAGAGCACTTGGACCCAGATCCCCAGGCCGCAACTCATCTTTCGTCTTCTGGACAAAGACCCGAGGGTTTACGCTGCCGCTGCATTTGGGCTGAACCAACACCTCCCGGCAACACGACGCCTGCGCTTGTGTCAACTTGGGGAAGCCAGCCGGTGAACGGCCGGCTTCCTGTTGGGTTCCCTGTACCAACCAAAAGGGGATTCCCCCAAAGAAGACTCCTCCAAATTGATGGCAAGAGACTCAAGAGACTCCTGGTTCTGATCCACAGGGCTCTTTGGATTGAACCTGCGCCGCTCCATTCTTCATAAAACAGCTTCAAAGGTTCAAAGGAACACCCAAGGCAAAACAAAGGCTCCGTTGGGGGCTGCCTTTTGATTCCAAATGTTCAAGCGTGCGCATCTGCTGGCTGGCGCAGCGGGAAGTCAAACCTTCGGCGTTTCAAGGGTGCCAGCCGCGTGGTGTTCCCTCCAAG